CTTTTTTGCTTTGTCTACCATTAAAGGATTTTGCTTGCACTGGTGCTCTGTGATCGGTCACACCCAACTGCTGCATGACATGTGGCTTCACATTACAGCAATGACACCTTATTGTAGGGGTGGCGAACCTATGACACACTTGCCACTGTGGGTAAGCAGAGCCCTCTCTGTCAGTACATGAGCCAAGTCGCGCCAACATCACCCCAGCAGCCGGGCATCAGAAACAGCGCACATAGGGGCCACGCGCTTGCTCGGAAAGGAGTAGCTGCTCCAGGTGATAACATCATTAGTCATGACTCATCTGAGCTTTCACGTGGCTGGTCAAATGTATATTTGCTTGGATTGGCTATGAGTACTATTTCCTGAATTAAACCCTCAGTATTCCGGTTTTAGTGCTGTGTTCGGACTTTGCAATAAATCAGTGGGTTTTGGGTTGCAGTTTGGGAACTCGGTCTCTAAAAGGTTCACAATCACTGGGATTGGGTAAGAAAAATGTGGTGTTCTGTCATGATTTTGATGGTTGGAATGTGTATAAATGGGCAGAAAAGATGAACAGTGCAGAAAACGCTACTCAGGGAAGGCTTTTTCAAAATCACCCTCTTTTCTAAGGAACTTTCGCCCTCAATTACGGTTATGGGTATACTCCAGGGTAGGGATGGGGTTAGAAAAACGAGGTGTCCTGGCATGATTTTGATGGCTGGAATGGGTTTAGAATGGGCAGCAAGATGAGCAGTGCAGAAAAAGTTACTTAAGGAAGGCTTTTTCAAAATCTCCCTCTTTTTAATGGAACTTTAGCCCTGTATAAAGGATAGGGGTGTGCACCAGGGTAGGGTTAGGCTTGCAAAAACGAGGTGTCCTGGCATGATTGTGATGGTTGGAATGTCTTTAAAAAGGGCAGAAATGATGAGCAGTGAAGAAAAAGCCACTCAGGAAAGTCTTTTTCAAAATCGATTAGTTTTCAATGGAAATTTAGCCCTGTATTAGGGAGGGGGGTGTGCACCAGGGTAGGGTTAGGCTTACAAAAATGAGGAGTCCTGACATGATTTTGATGGCTGGAATTCGTTTAAAATGGGCAGAAATGATGAGCAGTCAAGAAAAAGCTATTCAGGGAAGGCTTTTTCAAAATGGATCTCTTTTCTATGTAACTATAGCCCCATATTAGGGTGAGGGGTGTGCACCAGGGTAGGATTAGGGTTGTTAAAATGAGGTGTCCTGGCTTGATTTTGATGACTGGAATTCATTTAAAAATGGCACAAATGCTGAGCTTGAAGAATAGAAAAATGAGGAGTCCTGGCATGATTTTGATGGCTATAATGTGTATAGAATAGGTAGAAATGATGAGCAGTGCAGAAAAAGATATTCAGGGAAGGCTTTTTCAAAATGGATTTCTTTTGAATGGACGTTAAGCCCCATATTACGGTTAGGGGTGTGCAGCAGGGTAGGATTAGGGTTGTTAAAACGAGGTGTCCTGGCTTGATTTTGATGACTGGAATTCATTTAAAAATGGCACAAACAATGAGCATTGAAGAAAAAGCTGCTCAGCGAGGGCTTTTTCAAAATTGATCTGTTTTCAATGGAACTTTAGCCCCACATTAGGGTGAGGGGTGGGCACCAGGGTAGAGTTAGAGTTCAAAAAAAGAGGTGTCCTGGCTTGCTTTTAATGGCTGGAATTTGTTTAGAATGTGTAGAAATGATGAGAAATGAAGAAAAAGCTACTCAGGGAAGGCTTTTTCAAAACTGATCTCTTTTCAAAGTAACATTAGCTCCGTATTAGTGTGAGAGTGTGCACCAGGGTAGGGTTAGACTTTAAAAAATGACGTGTCCTCGCATGATTTTGATAGCTGGAATGTGTTTAAAATTGGCAGAAATGATGAGCAGTTCAGAAAAAGTTACTCAGGGAATGCTTTTTCCAAATTGCCCTCTTTTCAATGGAACTTTATCCCCGTATAAGGTGAGGGGTGTGCACCAGGATAGGGTTAGGATTGGAAAAAGGAGGTGTCCTGGCTTGATTTTCATGACTGAAATGTGTTTAAAAATGGCACAAACGATGAGCATTGAAGAAAAAGCGACTCAGGGAAGGCTTTTTCAAAATCGATCTCTTTTCAATGGAACTTTAGCCCCGTATTAGGGTAAAGGGTGTGCACCAGGGTATGCTTACAGTTCAAAAAACAAAGTGACCTGGTTTGATTTTGATTACTGGAATGTGTTTAAAAAGGGCAGAAATGATGAGCAGTGAAGAAAAAGCTACTCAGGGAAGGCTTTTTCAAACTGACTTCTTTTTAATGGAACTTTAGCCCTGTATTAGAGTGAGGGGTGTGCAGCAGGGTTGAGTTAGGGTTAGAAAAATGAGGTGTCCTAGCTTGATTTTGCTGGCTGGAATGTGTTTAAAATGGGCAGAAATGATCCGCAGTGAAGAAAAAGCAACTCATGGTAGGCTTTTACAAAATCACCCTCTTTTCAATAGAACTTTAGCCCTATATTAGGTTTGGGGTGTGCACCAGGGCAGGGTTAGGGTTAGAAAAAAGAGGTGTCCTGGAATGATTTGAGTGGTTCAATGTGCTTACAATGGCCAGAAATAAGGAGCTGTGCAGAAAACACTACTCAGCGAAGATTTCTTCAAAATTGATCCCTTTTTAATGGAACTTTAGCCATGTATTTGGGTGAGGGCTGTGCACCAGGGTAGGGTTAGGGTTATAAAAACGAGGTGTCCTGGTTTGATTTTGATGGCTGGAATGTGTTTAAAATGGGCAGAAATGATGAGCAGTGAAGAAAAAGCTACTCAGGGAAGGCTTTTTCAAAATCGCCCTCTTTTCAATGGCACTTTCGTCCTATACTAGGGTTAGGGGTGTGCACCAGGGTAGGGTTAGGGTTAGAAAAATGATGTGTCCTGGCTTGATTTTGATGGCTGGAATGTGTTCAGAATTGGCAGAAATGATGAACAGTGCAGAAAAATCTACTCAAAGAAGGCTTTTTCTGAATCAATCTCTTTTTAATAGAACTTTAGCCCTGTATTAGGGTTTCGGTGTTCCCCCATGGCAGAATTAGGACATTGGTGGTGAACCTATGGAAATTTTGAAAATCGCTCTGTGCCATGTGTACTTCAGCCCAAATGCAGAACTAGGGTTATAATCCAAGTTGGAGTTAGCAATTCCAAGTTCTCTGGCGGACATCTCCAAAGCTAATGTTAACATGCATATTACCTGAAGGTTGCAGAAAACCCTCTGAAGATTTCCACATTTCCTATTGTCTATTGGAGACTGTGTGTCATTCCCATTGTGCATACAAATTGTTCTGGAGTTATACAGGGTGCCCCAGACTTGCTGAGGAATTCACGTACACCTCTGGTATGTATCAAATGAAGTTGACATTTTCATATCCCCCAAGTTAAGCAGATTTCCTGGGCCAGATTCACGGTTCCTTCTGTCTTGACCAATTATATGCACATTCTCCTTGAGATGGTTGTGGTTCAGCAATCTGCCTACATCCGTGCCACCAACCCCCTGCTTGTTATCTCTTCCTCCCTCTGGTTTCCCACTTATTTTAGACTGGATACATAGACTCCCTTTGCTGTCTAAGCTGCCGTGTGCACTCATGGTGAACATCAGCAACAGCAGCAATGGACAGAACTGCAGCATTAGTTACGGGGACATTAAATGTGTACCAGCTGACTATGTACTCAAATGCCATTTTCACAATTTGCATTAAAGCAGCACTTTCAACTAGTGTGTGAACACATGCAACCTTTCCCCCACTACCTTCTTTGTATTTCAAACCTCTTGATTCAATGTTATTTATAAGTACAGTGCCTAAAATATATGTTTACATATGTAGTAATAATGGGTTGGATTCAGATTTAGTCAGATTTAGAGTGGACTTATTGAAACCAATGAGCTTTCATTTATGACTTTTACTTGTCCCACTGATTTCTGGAGGCCTGCTCTTAGTATGACTAAATCAGTATCCAAGCAGATATTTACAACTGGGCAGGCTCCTTTCTCAAACCACTCCAGAAATAGTCAAAAACAGCCTAACAGTGTTTCCAAATATTATAGTAAAAGGTTTTGGAGAGGTTATGTCATCCCAGTGGCTCATGACTGCATTCAGATAACCTGGCATTCCTAAGAGTACCACTTCATACAATGACCTTCTCACATAAATGCTTCTGTCACTGTGTAAGAAACTCTGTGACACCATCTTGTGTCATGCTTTTTGCTGCATAGCGCCCCACTTATAAGAGGGTGGCGACAAGGGCAAACACCTACAATGGTAGACCCCAGTTCTGGCACAATCTCGCCACTGAGGCCTGCCTGTTGCCAACTCTGTCATCTTTTCAGCCCAGAGACGAAGGCTTTTCTCTCCTCCAAAACATTTAATAGTGTGATACAGTAGCTGTTTGAACAGGTTTAATTTTTATTGACTTTTTATAGCTGTATGATTTTTTTTTTCATTTTCTGCTGCATTCTTCTTATATTTACATGTGTTTTGTGGATTGTGTGAACCACCCACAGAGTTTCAGCTACTGGGTGGTATAGAAATGAAATAAATCATCAGTATCCTTACAAACACATATGTATCTATGAACCTGTCCAGAGCAGTGTACTAAAAGAAAATGCAAATTCTGCACCCAGAAAGCAAAATGTTTGCAAGGGAAATGAAGCACGCCAATCAAGCACATCTGCTTGCACACATATTTCTCATTCTGCTTCCAATTGCCATAAAGCAGGAACAAGGCAAATGGTTGACATGCCTTCACATTTATCTGCAATGCCATATGGGCTAGAAACTTGTGATGACTGAGGGAGAAGAATTCCTGTTGTCAGTATTGATAATGGCTTGCCTAGAGGCCACAACACCCTGAAGTCTTCTCATTACCCTACCAATATTCAAGCAGCTAACAAAACCATGCTTTAAGCAGTAAACTATGAGCTACCTAGATGCCTGAATTCAGGCCCATTGCCTTGTAGGCAAGCAAGCAAAGCAATATTTTGCCAAACACAACTTCATATCCTGAATTCCAGTTGCAAAATAGTGAAGAGGAGGAAAATAGAGCAGATGAGAAGAGGAGGGAGAGTGAGACAGTTGGAATGATTCCCACTCCCTTGCAGAGCAATCGGCACAACTCCAAACTGCAGGTCCGGAACATAACGCTGCAGCCAGCCCGCATAGCTTGTCACTCTGGTATAGACCCCAGGGTGGTTCGGCATTGCACACTTCCATCCCCAGCTCACGATGCCCACCAGAAACCAGGCGTCATTTTGGACACAGACCAACGGCCCCCCAGAATCACCCTAGGAAGAAAAAGAGGAACAAACAATAATGCTTCTCCCCCTCAGGACCTCTCTACAGACATTCACTTTCCCAGTGGCAGCTTCTTGAAGAAAAGTGACCTCATCAAGTGTGTGTTTCTCTTGTGAAGTCAGCATGCAGCATCCTTCAGTGAAGATGGTAGAGCAGGGCCCAGGTAGGGTTCACCAATGAGCTGTTCCTTGCCCTGGAGAAGTGGTGGGGCCTTCACTCAAAGTTCCAATGCAAGCAATTCAGCCTAAGAGATGCCACGTTAATTTCCCACAATCCCCCACCTCCAAATTAAAGGCAGTTGCTCAGTGTTTCACCTGGCAAGCATCCTTTCCCCCGGCTTCATATCCAGCACAAAGCATGGTATCCAAGATGGACTTGGTGCCCTTGGAATGAGGGAATGATACATTGAACATCTCTTTGCATCTTTCAAGACTTATGAGGGGGACTTCAACTTCTTGCAGCATCCCTGGAGAAGGAAGTGGCTCTAAAAAGTGCAAAACAGAAGAAAAGCATGCTGCATTCAAGAGTAGATTGGGTTGAGAAGGCGTTGAGCATGAGCTGTTAATTGAATTGTGGATGGCTGCTGAAACATGGTTTGTTATGTTGTCTGAACCCATCTGAGATGGCAAACTATACTGAATAACTCAGTTCACAAGCCATGGGTACCCTTCATGAGTTGCTTGTGGTTGGCTAGCCATGGCTTGTTAGCACAGCTTTAGAAGTACAACCCCCCAGCCCCTAGACTTTGCCCCTGCACATGCTTTCTTTCTGTGGTCAAGATGTTATTTATTTTATTTTATTTTATTTTATTTTATTTTATTTTAAGTTTTTATATGACGTCCAACACCAGAGTCTCTGGATGGCTTACAAACAAAAACAAAAAACAACAACATAACAACATAACAACACACTGCATCCTAACATTAATGATAAAAACAAAGATTAAACTAATTAAATGTTTAATAAATAAATAAATAAAATGTTGGGAAAATAAAAAAGTTTTCACTTGACTCCAAAAAGAATCAAGTGATAAATACATAAAAATCAAGTGATAAATAAATAAAAATAAATGCAGATAGATAGATAGATAGATAGATAGATAGATAGATAGATAGATAGATAAAAATAAATGTTACCTTGCTTCAATGCTATATTAAGAGTCTAGTCAGGGAGCTTTGCAAAATAGCAATCCTTGTGAATCACAATAATTCATTATCATGTTATGATAATTTTTTCCTGCTCCTGTTGTGAGTCAGTTGTGCTTTACATAAATGACAACCAATAGAGTTGCAACTAAATTTCATACAGATTCAACATCCAAATCCAGTTTGTACTCACCCACTTGACATGCTTATATGTCAACTCAGAAGTCAGTCCCATTGAGCACAGTGGGGCTTAATTCCAGAAAAGTGGGTATAAGATTACAGCCTGAACTTTTCAGTATTTCTCTCACATGCTCCTTCTATTCCTTCTGTGGAGTTCTTTATTTTTTTTCCCCAAGTGTTCATGTTCAAGTTGTTCACATTTCATTCAACCTAATTGCTTCATAGATCATGTGACATTTTGCATGCAAATTTGAATGAGAAGTGTTAGATTCTTGCTTTACCAATTTCATTTGCCGCTCAGCCCATCACCCCACCAGTTTCTCACCCCCATGTCTGATGTTTCCCCATCCAGTTACCCAGCATGGCATGCCTTCAGGGAATTTCGCAGAAGAATAGGGCACACACACAGGGAGGATGTAGGGGGTATATTCCAGGGGCTGCTGGAGCCTCAACAGGGCAATGTCCCCTCTTGTTCCAGTTCCTGAAAATTCGATGTTGCAGATTACTTGGGTGACAGGGATGATCCGAGCATTGGAGCTCATATTATCAAGCTGGTTGCTCCCCAAGCTCACTGTGATGTCCAAGACAGGATTCCTTCTGAGAATGAGAAGGGGAGCAAACAAGACCATAATCACTTGAAAATGCAGCCACAGTTAAGAAGTTGTTCAGAGGTGACCTCAGAGGTGGGCATCCATGGGCAAACGCACTTGGGGGCCTTAAAGTGAGCCATTGAAGCAATTGCAAGGGTTATTACATCTATTTTGGCCCAGTCACCAAGAAATAGTGAAATAACTATTTCTTAAATGCACAGCAACATCACTGCACTGCCACCACCATCTTGCCCCCATGAAAATTCTCACCTAAAGCAGTGGGCTGCTGACACCACCCACTGTTTTGCCACAAGGGACCCGCCGCAGAAATGCCTCCCATTCCAACGGATGCTGACCTGCCATGGCCAGGCTCCTCTCTTGGACGCTTGGCCACCCACAATTCGAGAAGACAATATTGGCTGACCACAGACTTGAGGAGGAAGGAGTAACACAGAAAGGCATTACAATGATATTACTCTTCAGAGGATTTTGAGCAGCCCCAGTGGACACCATGGTTGAGTGCATATCTGAGCCTTTGCCCCCAGTTCAAGCCCAACACCAGAAGTAGGCTCAAGGCATGAAAACAGAGCCAGAACTCTGAGACACGCAGCTCCACTAACTTCTTAAGCAGATTAATAAAATGGAAAATAATCATATATTGACCTATCCTTCTAGTAAGACTCACTGAGGTAGAGCAATAGGGTGTTTGCTTTCTTCCGCATCAAAACCAGCCAGCACTGTTAGAGCTTCCTTCCCCCTGGTGAGTCCACAAACCTGAATGGGCAGACTTACTAACTCTTTCCTCACCTCCTCTGCTCTCAAACTGAGGCATCTGCTTTGCTATTCCAGCTGAAGAGGGCATCTAGCGTGGGTGATTTGCTTACCTGAAAGCATCTCCTCTGCTCCTGGAAGAGAATTCAGGAAGGGGGAGGGAGGGAAGGACAGAAAGGGGGGGGGGCATTAGAACTGGGCAGAGAAAAATAATGAGAGCTCCTTTGTGTATTTTTCTCCAAATTCTTTCTCCCCCTTCCATTTCTAAAGCTGCAATCCTATGCATACTTCATCAGGAATAAACATTATTGAAATACAGTTGGCCTAAGGAAATGTATCAGAGGATTGGACTGTAAGGCTGCAATCTTATACCTTCTTACTGGAAAGTGAGCTTAACTGAACTCATTACTACTTACTCCCAAGCAGACCTGCACAAGATAGCTTTGTAAGGCTGAAACTCCACCACTGCATTAAGTACCTCTGCTCCCTGCCTAGTAGTTCTGACTGCCAATATGTTTGTTAGTAATTTGATCATGTTCTTTTTATTACATATTTATTTATGGGCTTAAAATGTATTTATTTGAATGTTCCGCTCTTGGGGCCCTTCAGCAAAAAATAGCCTAAAATGTAACATTAACATAATGGAACATAAAACTCCTGGCTGCCACCATGAACATTAATTTCTGCATCAGATGGAATCAAACAGTGTTAATATCTGATGGCTGTAGGAGTAGAAGAAAAGTGGAGGTAGAGAGGCATATGAAATGTGAATGACCGCAGCACTTTCAAGCCTTGTATGTGAAGGTAGCCTTCAGGTGCATTCCGACAGCATCCCAATCTCATCTAGGAGGCTGCAGGACCCGTTGGGGGCCCAGCACTGAGGTTGTGCCACCTTGGAACTGGGACTCCAAAGACTGAACTTGTGCCCTGTCACTCTTCAGAACTGGTATGGGAAGAACCGTACTAGCTACTACCTTCCCAGGCTACAGCTGGACCTTGGAAGTGGGAAATAGCTCAGCAAAATGGGGAGGAGGTGGATCTACCACCATTCCTATGGGCATCCCAACCTCCTTTCCAGCACTAAATCCAGAGGGCTGAAGAAGCATCCAGGGCATGGGCAGCTGACTATCTGACACAGGCACCAGGACACAGTGACTGGCTGAGTACATGAAGGCTGGAGCAGGAATAAGCAAGGGCCAGAAAAGCAGGCAAGGTTCAGAAAGAGGAGCAGGGTCAAGAGTCCAGGTCACAACAAGCCAAGCAAGGAGCACTGCAACAAGTCTGGAAACCTTCATTATCAAGGTAGCTTCTGCAAGGAGGAGCCTGTTCTTCTATAACTCATCCCCCAGGGATCCCAGGTAGCGCTCATGAGAGCCCTGGCAGCTGCAGGAGATGGGGAGAGTAATCCTGCAACTGCCAGGGCTGCTATGCCGGTCCTTGGCCAGCAGATGCAGCCCTGAAGCTGCCTCAGATCTTGACAAAAAAGATGCCTGGGGAAAAGAGCTAGTAGGAACATTCCAGGCATTGGGCTCAGAGCCTTGCATACATTGAGGGGACTAGACATCCAAGTGTACCCATAGATGATGCAACTTGAGCTAGAATGAAACAGAAGGGTGAGGGCATTATGTGACAAACTTCTTCATATTTTGCTCTTGCCCCTCTCCTCTTGTCGTCGTCATCGTAGCCGTCATCATCATCATCATCATCATCATCATCATCATATTATTATTATTATTATTATTATTATTATTATTATACCTACAGGAATGCCTGCTGCCATATTTGCCCTCCCGCCCCTTGAGATCGGCAGCAGAGGCTCTCCTCCTGGAGCCTTCTGTGAGAGATATCAGGAGGCGAAGTACCCGGAGGAGGGCTTTCTCTGCGGTGGCGCCCCATCTGTGGAATGTGCTCCCCAGAGAAGTCCGCCTGGCGCTGTTTTTGTTTTTCGGCACCAGGCCAAGACCTTTTTATTCAAGCAGTATTTTAAACATGTTTAATATTTATATATTTTAATTATGCAGCCAGTGTGTTTCCAGGTTTTCATTGTAATTGTAATTGTTTTATTTGTTACTTTTGTGAGCTGTCCCAAGGCTATGTAGCAAGGGGACGGCATATAAAAACTTTAAATAAATAAATAAATAAATAAATAAATAAAATATTTTCTGCCTTTTGATCTTTCTCAGCTTCCCAAGTTAAGGCAACCCATGCACTATAAAACACACAACTGCACATACTCCAGGACACAGGAGTATTGTCCTATTAATCTTCCTCTGCGTACACATGAGCTTTTGGTCTAAGTTGCAACTTATTATTAGCCCAAGGATTCTTGTATTTGCGCAAGAACACAGCAGTAGGATTTGTCAACAGAGAATGAGGAAAAGACTGCCAGAAAAGGTTTTCTCTCAGTCTTTCTATCAGAGGAAACCAACATGGGATTAGGGGGAAAAACCCTTGAGGGGCAAAGATGTGGGGTAGATCCCCCATGTCTCAGACTGCAATGTGCAGGTTTTCCAGCAGCTGTCAGCACTCAAAACAGCACAATCCTATTATCTCTGTGGATACTTCACATGCAACCGATTTTCAACCTTAGAGCCACTGTCTGGTATGAATGAAGATGCTGCATTAGCTTTCAGGCACCAGACTGACTTGGACTGAGTGCACACACTAGAACTTGAGAGAAACAGTGGTTTGGTTTGGTTTGGTTTGGTTTGGTTTGGTTTGGTTTGGTTTGGTTTGGTTCATGTGAACTTAATCCACTAATCTGAGGAGAAATTTTCATGAAATGCTCCCTCAATTTATTTTACTTCACTGTTTCATTTTGCTGATTCTTCAATGGAAGGAAGTCCGATTGAAGTCAATGGAACCTAGTTTTGATTAGACATGCAGAGGATAGCACTCTTAATCTCCACACATAGAGACACTCTAAATAAAATTGGACAACTTTTAAATTAGTGCTAGGCAACTCAGTGCCCTCCAGATGTTTTTGACTGCAATGTCCCTCAACCTGAGCCAGCAATCCATAATCAAGGATTATGAGAACTATTATCCAAAACTTATGGAGGGCACCCAGGCTGCCTCCTCCTGCCTTTAACCTTTGGGTCCACCTTGGGCCACCTTTGGGTTTTGGCAAGACATTCTTATTTATTTCACACATGCACATGTATACACACACGTAAAAGAAACTGGTGAGTCCAAACAACCTATTGCTATGTGAGTTCAACTCAAGGTCAAGGTGATCAGAGCATCTAAAAATGTCTCTTCCCATATGTACCAGCTTGGATACCTAGTTCACCTTCAAAAGTTCTCCTCCAGGTACTCTCATCAAACATGAATAGCTACAAGAGGGGAACCTTCCTATCTATGTTCATGGAATGCCAAGCCCAAGAAGGCTTTCCAGTGCCTCTACTTTTATTTTCTCCCAAGCATTTCCACTTTTATGACTGCATATTTTATATTTTTTTCTGTGCAGTTTGCTTTCTTGATATTGTAGTTTATTCTTTTATTTTTTCATAATCTTCATTAAAACAAGTTTGTTATAGGGCAAATTTAAATAAGTAAATGATAAAATATAATAAAGATAATAAAATAAATAAATAAAGATAGAAAAAATAGGTCAGCCAGATCCAAAGGTGGGTTCAGCTCATTTATTTTAACTGACATGGAGAAAAGAGAGTTTCAATAGTAATTGCTCTCTTCCACCCAGGATCAGGAGACGCTTGTCCAGAGCACTTTCCAGATCTCACCTTGTACAGATTCTAGAACTTTAAACAAACCTTCCCTTAGGTGAGTGATGGACTGGGGGATATTAGGGAGAGCCCATGCTTGTGTACAGATAGTTTCCAGTTCCATGCATCTCCAGCTATTATTTATGGATTTTTAACATTTCTTTTCTATACTGCGCAATAGCTGAAGCACAAAACATAGATCACAAATTTGAAAAGGAACGTTATTTTTCCAATATACAAATGTTTTAAAAGAATTTACCACCTAAAGAAAATTTTAGCACAATTAGAGCTGTAAAAGCAGCTGTCATAAATGACCCATCATCTGATCAATGACTCTTAAATAATGCCATTCCATGCCTGGGAGAAGAGGGCTGCATTGGCACTGGGTGGACATCACGGGGGGAACGTTTCATAATCCAGAGAAGACCCTCTTCCTTGCTGCCACCCCTCAGAAGTGGCACTTGGAGGAAGATCTCCAATGTTGGGTAAAGTGTGTCTGGGTAGATTCAGGTTGGGAGAGAGCCTCCATGTGGTTTTGCAGCCCCAACCCATGTCAGTCTTTGCAGGTTAGCACCAGCACATTTGGTGCTAAAATGGATCCCATCTAGCCAGTGACATCAACCCTGGAGAGATGCCACCTGTTGAAACAGGCAGCAATAACACTAGACAGACCAATGGCCTGGCTTGTTTGCCATGTCTGACACATGAAAGCAGGGCAGACTAATCAAGAAGTTAATCTAGGCAAACACTCTGAATCACATGTGGCAGAGAGGGAAGATGAATTCGGAGAGGAACTCTGTCATTTCCTCGTTGCCTGTCCTACAGTCCTCTTTGAGTTGGAGGCTGAACTTCTGCAGCCTGGAAGTTTTTCTACTTGTACAGGCTCCTTGAATAATTCCAAACCCTGATTTATAAAGGGAAAAAGCCTCAAGAAAACCTTTGCTTTAAAATGTACTTTATTGAATTTCATTTGCATTGCATTGCATTTTCTTTAAATGAATATGTAAGTCATGGTGGGGGAGACGCATTAAGCCAATAGAGAACAGCTGAACACACAGAGAGGAATACTCACTGTCCATCAGGGGCAGCATCAGAAAGAACAAGAAGGCCAATGCTTTTCTGGCCCTGTTTCCCGGATCTTCAATCTTGTCTGGCAACCTCCTTGGCTCTGAAGACATGAACAGGCAGACAATCAGGTCCATGAATGTGCCTAATCCTCAGTTAAAGGGGAGATACTGTTGCCCCAAAAGCAGAGAACCCAAGAATCCAGCTGGATCTGGAGCAGAGAAACTTAACTTTCTATTGCGCTAGCCACTTTGACCCAACTTGGCTGTGAGAAAGGGGACCCAGGAGTCCTGGCTCTCTC